ATGGTCATGCCGCAATCCCTTCTCCTCCATTCTCCTCTCGGGGTCTTGGGTACGCATGCATATGCGCCCGGCGTGAGTTTAAGCCACTGGGTCCAGGACTCGAACCGCAGTCGACTACATGGGAGTTCAGCAACACAGCCATTACACCAACTGCTGGTCCCACTAGTTCTTATTTCTAGGATTCAGACCTGAGGTCAGTGGGGCTGGGAAAGGAGAAACACCAAGGGCCCCAGGCCCAGTTTCTCCTGTCCCCTAACAGCCATAGTTTTGTGGGTTGCAGGTCAGGGGGGAGCTCTTCCAAGGAGGCTTCTCTATCCTCACAGTCCCCCCACACCAGGCCATTAGAAGAATGAAGACGCAGGGGCCAGGGGCGTGGTAGTTAAGGCACTGAGCTTCTACATGGCCGACCACAGTTCAAATCCTTGGACCTGGAGGCTCGCTCTCTGTCCTCTCTCTCTCTCTCTCTCTCTCTCTCTCTCTTTCTCTTGTGAGTGCATGTGCTGCTGGGTTCCACTCTGTTTCTACACCTCTTGTAGTAAAGCAGCCTTTCCTCCATCCTGGCTTTAGGTCCTTCTCCACCCAGGACTGTCATTCAGAGACTGTCCCACTGACACGCAGTTCCCTCACCACCTCGTCTTCCCTCACTGAACTAGGCTCGAGGCACCTCTCACAAGTGGGAGAGCTGCAGCTCCCGGAGGTCTGAATCCCAGCCCTGCTGAGTTCCAGACCTCAGGTGCCCGCCTGCATCTCTGAGTCACTTTCCTCCACTGTAAACCTAGGGAAATGCCATCCACCTCCCAGGTGCTCCATGGGCTGACTGATGGCGAAGGCAGAAAGTCACTACTGAGCCCCAGCACCTCGGCTTTCACCCTCCCCTGGGTCCATTCCACATCCCCGTCCCACACTCCTGTCCCCTGACTGCGGAAAACCACTGGAAGAAATGGAATTACCCTGCGAATTGGTGCCCTACACACACATGTGGCACACAACCGCGAGTTCTTCTCTCAAATTACAAAATTTCGTATAATATGATGTTAAAAAAAATCCTTGTTTTTAAATGACGCATTTTATGATTTATAATGGAACACATGCTGGAAAAATAGCTTTAAAAATCTATGTATATAAAGTGTGCAGAGGCAACAGGAGGTTTCTCTTCCTTCCTCACTCCCTTCCTTCCGCAGAGGTGACTATTATGAACAATTTGGACTGTACACTTCCAGACCTGTTCCTGCATTAACCATAACACACACACACACACACACACACACACACACACACACACCACTCACATGTGCACAGCATTTGCGATATTACAAACAAGGCCATAGTGAACATCCTTGAATGTAACTCTTTCTGTAGGATGGACTCTTAAAAGTGGAATTGTTTGATCAAAAGGTATGAACGGGGACCAGCAGATGGCATAATGGCTATGTTGCTGGACTCCCATGTAGTTGACAGCGGTTCGAGTCCTGGACCCGGTGGCTTAAACTCACGCGAGGCGCATGTGTGCGCATGCCCAAGATCTTGGGAGAAGAATGGAGGAGAAGAGATTGCGGCGTGGCCATCTCCCCTGGGGGGTGATTTCTCGCTTTCTGTCTCTCTGTCTCTGTCTTTCTGGTGAGCGCACACGCCCTATAGCAAAAATCTCTAAAAAAAAAAAAAAAAGAAATGACCCTCCCCTACCCCAGCCTCAGCTCCAGAAGAGTTGGGGGTAGGGTGGGGAGTGAAAACTGAGAGAGAGAGCGAGAGACCTGGCTGAAGCTGTAAACTGAGACTAAAATGGAGAACTCTCTCTCTGCCCCGAGGTAAATGGGACCCAGCCAGCCCAGGTGCAAGGCCTCTCTCTCCTGGTCACTGTCTCCAGATTCATGGGCCTTCTTTTCTTTATCTCTCCTGGTACTCCCAAGTTTCGTCTTGAAATCCTTAGTACTTTTTTTTTTTTTGAGAGATTTTCACTGTAGGGCGCGTGCGCTCGCCAGACAGACAGAGAGAGACATAGAGACAGAAAGCGAGAAATCACCCCCCAGGGGGGATGGTCACGCCGCAATCCCTTCTCCTCCATTCTCCTCTCGGGATCTTGGGCACGCACACACACGCGCCCGGCATGAATTTTAAGCCACCGGGTCCGGGACATGAACCGCGGTCGACTACGTGGGAGTCCAGCGACATAGCCATTACGCTAACTGCTGGTTCCCAAATCCTTAGTACTTTTTACAGAAGGGGCTCCACAAATGATGCAACCAGTATGGTCTAGACCCCTCTAAAACATGCACTGTTGGGTGAGGATAGCAGAGGGAAACAGTGTGGGAGGAATTTACGGGGTCTGCTCAGGCAGCCCGTGTTGTTACCTAAGAACAGGAGGCTTATCTATAGCAGAGGGAAACAGTGTGGGAGGAATTTAGGGGGTCTGCTCAGGCAGCCCGTGTTGTTATCTAAGAACAGGAGGTTTATCCTCACCCTGCCCTGGCCTGACTCAGTCCTGGGTCTCTGAGCTGGCCCTGGTGGGTGGACAGAATTCAGAGGCCATCCTTAGAAAATAAGCCATACAGGGGACCAGGAGGTGGCATGGAGGTTAAGGGGCTGGACATTCCCACATGGCCGACCATGGTTCGACTCCTGGATATGGCGGCTTCCTTTGTCCCTTTCTCTCTCTCTTTCTGGTCAAATTAAAATAACTGAATGAATAAATAAAATTAAATAAGTAATAATTTAAAAAAAAAAAAGAAAAGAAAGGAAGCCAATGATACACTGAGCTTACACAGCTAGACAAGCAGAGCCAGGACACTGAGGCCCTCCACGTCCCATGGGGGATTCCGTCCCAATCCATGCAGCCTCCCGACTGCCCAGGCTGTGACTTCCCGCCACATTCCACCTTTAAGGAATATTTGCCTTTTCGGGGCCGGGGTCCCTGTTGGCCATTCCTCCATGAGGAGAGGAACAAGGGAGAAATACGGGGTCTCCTGGCTTGGAAGAGGGGACTGGTGTGTCAAGACAGCCCGGGGTTGAGTCCTGTGACAGCTGTGACACTAGCCAGCCGGAGCGTGCCAGACTCTCTGCCAAGCACTTTATAGGTGTGAGCTCGTTCCGTCCTTACCTCAGCCCTGTGCAACGGTTTCCCCCCCTTCTCCATCCGAGTCCTGTGTTACAGCTAAGACCACCAGGGATTTTTAGTACCAGTCTTTAGTAAAACTCTCAACACTATCCTTTACAAAGACTCCTTTAAAAATAGAAAGCTGGGGGACCAGCCCTATAGCCTAATGGTTAGGGAAGCCAGATTCCCCCATGGCTGACCACATGGTTCCAATTCTAGCCCTGGTGGCTTGAAAAACATGCTGGGCACATGTACAAGTGTGTCCCCAACCCCAGCAGGATGGAGAAATGGAGAAGGGATTGCGGCGTCACTGTGTCTCACTACAAGGGGTGGGGTGTACTTCCTCCTTCTCTGTCTCTCTCTGGTAGTGCATGTGCCCTCTGGCAATTAAAAAATAGAGAGGCTGACAGGTGGGTTGAGGTGCTGGACATCCACATGGCCGACTGTGGTTTGAGTCCTGGTCCCTACACTGGGGCTGGTGGTTCAGTGTGTTCTACTTCATGCCTGGCTGACCTGGTGGGGATGCCTAGCTTCCAGCAGGTCTGGGATTGTTGGTCACCTCCCTAGACAGCTGGTGCGGGGATTCTTTGCAGGGATCTGGGAGTCCTCAGTGAGTTCATGAGCGGCACACACAGTGGGGCCCTCTTTGCATGCACCGTCACTGATGTCCGGGGAAACGGAGTTTACTGGGTAGAGGATGTTCAGGGATCTGTGTAACTATAGCCGGGCGAGAGGAGCAGGGTGGAATTAGAAAGGATCACTGGTAGGAGCTGAGAAGGGCCTGTGACTTCCTGGAGTGTCCAAGGCTGAGGATCTGGGTATGGGGAAAGTGGGTTCTCTGTTTACTTGCACATCGTTTTAAGCCTTACGTCTCTCACTCTAGGATCCCCAAATTGTAGAGCTGTAAATCAGTCAACACAGCTTTCCAGGAACACAGAGGGTAAGGGACCAGCTCCGAATAACACAGGGCAGCCCAGAGGACCAACAAGGTAGGGCCTGGGCACAAGTGGCTTTTCCTCTCAGCTGAGTTCCTTGCCTTAATACCCACTCCTCTCATAAGAGCAAGGTTCCCGGGTTGGCAGGTGGCATGGTTGGTGGTTCAGGTCGCTGGACTCCCACATAACCGACTGCGGTTCCAGTCCTGGACCTGGCGGCTTCTTTCTCCTTTTCTCTCTGCCCCTCTATGGTCAAATTAAGATAAATAAAGTTAAATAAAAATAATTCTTTACAACAAAAGAGCAAGACTCAAGGCCTTTAAGGGGAGACAGGGCACAGAGGTCCTTCCTCAGAGGGACTGAAGCAGCCTGGAGCCTCTGAGGCACCAAGGTCAGGGCCTAGAGAACTCAAGGCTGGACTTTTCTGTAAGGTAGGCAGGAGGAGGGGGCACGAGACAGACTTTCACACACACTCCCGTGGTGCGTTTCTTCACGAATTACCCTTTATTTACAGGGATGCATATTGTATGTGGAAATTACTTTCTAAAACTCTAAGTCAATGGCAGAAAACAGGGCCAGCAGGTGATGAAGGTTAAGGCCGAGAGATCCTGATCCAGAGGCTTGAAAAACATGTCAGGTGTGTGTGCGCGAGTACAGAACCAAACCCAGAGAGGAGAATAGAGAATGGATTCCAGTGTGCTCCCCTTCCCCACCTCCCACTTAAGCTCCCCTCTCCAGTGCACACGCCCTTCAGCAAAAATAAAAAACGAAACAAAAAAAGGGACAAAAAACTCAACAATTGAGGTGGAATAACAGGTGATATTAAACTTCTTCCCTGCGTTTTTCAAGACATCTTCGTGGAGCCGATGGTACTTTATAAGGCAGGGAGGGATACCTATTATTGCTTAATGTGCTTGAACTGGATAATGGAGCCACGTGCCAGCGGTTCCGGCCAATTTGGCTGGCAAAGAGGGCAAATCACACAGACCTGCTGCGGACTTGCTGGGCCTTTAGTCCTGCCAGGATGAAGGACCGCCCAGCAGGCATCACGGGCTGGAAGGATCTGGAAGGATCGCGGTTCTAGGGTCCCCCGGGCCGCGGCAGAGGAGCCGGCACCAGAGCCTCTGCGGTCTCAGCGCTGCAGCAGCGACTCCAGCTCGGAGCACGCCTCCAGGTCTTTGTCTGAGCCGAGCCGAGGTGCGGCGGGAGCGGCTGTCAGGGTAGCTCCCCGGCGGCGCTAGGAAAGGTGTGGACTGCGGGACAGGAAAGAAAGGGGCCAGTCGTGCCGGGGTCTCCGCTTACAGGGATACCCAAGGGAGGGCAGGAGGGGCTTCAAGGTATCCCTCTCCGGAGTATGTGCTGGACGCCTAGGGGTGCCGCCCTCCTGCTGATGGGGAGGAGCCCTAGCTACAGAGAAGTTGTGATTCATCCAGGGTCACACAGCGAACATGACAGTGTGTGCAGGGTGCGTTCTGACCGTGCGTCTGCGGCCGTCACAGGCCCAGCCCTGCACATTGGACGTCTTTGGATACCCGACTAGCCTTTTGGTTAAGCGAGAGGAGGACAGCGCCCCTAGCCTGCCACAAACTGGAGCTTCATGGAGCCCGAGGCGTGGTGCACCAGATTTTGGCGCCCGAGGGAGCGCACGCGGGCTCCGACTCCGGGCAGGAACGCCCAGATATAACCCACACGGGCGCCCCCATTGACTTCGCCACCACGTCAAGTGGAGGTCCTATTATTCAGTGACAGCTCCTAGGGACAGTGGCCAGTCTGAGGTCACGCAGCTGGTATGTTACGGAGCTGGGATTCGGCCCTGGCAGCTCGCGTCTCGGTGGCCCTGGGCCGGAGGAGGCTGTGCTGTGCGTCCTCGGACAAGTCCCTTTCCTTCGCCGGGCAGTTTGGCCGAGCGTCCCACTGGTCGGGGCCGCGCATGCTCAGTGGCTGGGGGTGC